ATGTGGGCAGCACCTGTGGCTCACTGGGTAGGGCACCAGCCCCATATACCAAAGGTGGCAGGTTCAAACCTGCCCCGGCCAAACTACAACAAAAATATAGCCAGGGATTGTGGCAGGTGCCTGTGGTCCCAGCTACTTGGGAGGCTGAGGCAAAGGAATTGCCTAAGCCCAGGAGTTGGAGGTTGCTGTCAGCTGTGTGATGCCACGGCACTCTACCAAGGGTGACAAAGTCTCATTACGTCACCCTCAGTAGAGTGCTGCGGCATCACAGCTCATAGCAACTTCAAACTCTTGGCCTTAAGAGATTCCCCTGCCTCAGCCTCCCAGTACCAGGGACTACAGGCGCCCACCACAATGCCCTACTATTTTTTTGTTACTGTTGTTGTTTAGCAGGCCCTGTCCACGTTCAAACCCACCATGTGGCCCCTGCCTTAACCACTGAGCTATGGGTGCTGAGCCTATTAACCAAAATTTTTGATAGCATATGCAAAGTTAAATTGGTTTTGCAGAAGTTATCATCCAACTAATTCAATGAACACTATGTACTAAATGTAGATACTATCAGAAACCAGCAGGGAGACAGATAATTGAACAGTGGCAACACTGTTGGAAACCAATAGCAAAGAGAAACATAACTGAACAGTAGCAACACACTGTGATTAAATGCTGGAAAGCATTAGAAGTTGCTGGAGGAGCAGACTGAATACTGACTGGCTATGGGCTGGAAATTTTCCTGAAAGATGAGACTAACCTGACTGGGAAAGTGAGTAGCAGTTACCTCCACAAATGGCAAGGAAACACGGGATTAGCTAGAAAGGTGAGATCTGAAAAGAAAAGCGGGCTAGAGCGTGAAAGGCCCTGGGAGTCCTTAAAAAAAAAAAAAAAAAAAGATGGTTTTATTTGAATGTGTTACCGAAAGAATTGAGAAACTACTAACAGGGTTTTATAAAACTCAAAAGTAAAAGATTTCTTATTCAAAGACAGAAAACCTTTCTTTTAGGAAGTATTATTTTTGGCTGTTTGCTACAGTTAGCAGATCATGTTCTGCTTTTTTAAATGCACAACCCTATTTAGTTTATACAATATAAAAAATACAACCAGTATTACTTAGAACCCTGGCTCAATTAGGTGTGGTGTCATCTTAAGTAGCAATGAAACTTCTGGTATCAGCAAACACATCACAGGAAAGTTCAGAAGAAAATGAAAAATGCTTTCTCAGTGAGGAAAATCCTTAGAATCAGCGACTCGCTGTTAAAGGACCCCACTGTCTCCCTTTGCATCACCTAATGGATGTTTGAGGCACCAGGCTCAAATTCAGTGTATGTTAAAGAAACCAGCATATTGGAGAATCAATAGAGTGGAGTGACAGGTGATGCAAAGGGAGACAATCGGGTCCTTTCTCCGTGTACAGTAACTAGTGCTTTTTAGGATCAAAGCAAATAATCCAAAACAACCACAAGGGCAGCAGCACCTGTAACGTGACAAGTGCCACTCATACTCGTGGCCATGGCGGCTAACTACTGGACTTAGGCTAGAACTCCCGCCTGCAGATGAGGCAGCCAGGATCTACCAGCTAACTAAAGCTTTTCCTTCTACCTTTCACCGCTCATTTTGAGCTAAGGATCATTTACATGTCCAATTACTTTTTGGAGAACATCTTATTTATTCCCTAATAATACCACCTAACTGAGGAATTAACATATTCTCACTTCTAGAATAAAAAAAAAATAATTCTTACGGGTAATATTATGTTGTTTATCATTTTCATAAATTCAACTAATATTTTCAGTAGGTTGGTAGCTGTCCTTGCCCCCCAAAATAAAGGATACAGAGTGAGTATGACAGAGATTGTGTGAATCCATTTATTCAGGGCCTCTGTTTCTGAGACTTCACTCTGAGCTGATTGTTCCTACTGAACAATGTGGTTCCTCAAACACAAGACTTTTCCAATGTTGGAGGAAAAACTGTAGTAAGAGATAGTATTGAAGTACTGCACCTTATAGAAAATTTAAAGTATTTTCAACGATTAAATACTCTGTTTTCATTTTATTCTTGGACTAACCTAACTTCTATAAGGATGAGATGCCATGAAAGCATTATCAGGAAAACACCCTCTCTGGAAACAATTACATGCTGTGAATTGTAACATTTAATGATGCATTAACTACGAATGTAAAAGTTAAACCATCTTACCCTCTGGGACCATCTGGAATAGCATTTGCTTTGCGGCATGTATCGAGGACGTTTGTTCCAGGGTCCAGAACTAATTCAGAAAATGAAGCTTCTCTGAACAACTCTTTTAACTCTTGATCAGACATGACCTCCAGCGCATCTATGCTATTATGATAAAGGGCTTGTGTACACCTGAAAAACATATTTTAGGATCCATATCATGTAATTGCTTATTTAAATACATGTTCTAATATCCATCAACCAATTATGGAGTGCCCAAGCTCCAGACTGAAACTTTCCAAAACACCTGCTTTGTATAATTCGTCTTTCTAATGAACAGGGGCTATTTTAAAATACTTAGACAGCATAACCCTAAAATAGCATACCTTCTAATTTTTCCGTGTCTGTCAACTAAACAACTATCCTTTTTTTTTTTTTTTTGAGACAGAGTCATTCTGTTGCCCTAGTGCCATGGCGTCAACTTAGCTCACAGCAATGTCAAACTCGTGGGTCAAGCAATTCTTCTGTCTTAGCCTCAATAGCTGGACCATAGGTGCCTGCTTCAACACTCAACTAATTTTTTTTTTTGGAGATGGGGGGTCTCAGCTGGTCTTGAATGCCTGAGCTCAGGTGATCCTCTCACCTCAGGCTTCCACAGTGTTAGGATTAGATTACAGGTGTGAGCCATGACACCCAGCCAGCAAGTATTAATTATACTAAAAGGCTACCTTTTGGCAGAATCCAGCCCATCTTGTCCATGAACAAGCTTTGTTACTTCTGAAGCAAGTCGCTTCTGAGGAACCCGCTTTTCTGGCTCTTTGATGTGCAGTTGCATAAGGTGGTCAATCTCTGGAAGGGGCAGAAAAGTGAAGAGCTTCAGGTACCTTTGGGACAAAGCAATGAAAGTGTTAACTAATTTTTAGTCTCCAGCTCCCTTACTTTTTAAAGAATATCTGCTTACTTAATTCCAGTCCTATCACATTCCCTTCTTTGCCCTAGAGATAAGCACTGATCTAAGTCTGTGTGCATTGTTCCCAAGCATGTTTTTATACTTTATGTGTATGTATCTATAAAGTACTGTGTGATTTAAAAACTGACATAAATATAAATATGTGCATATTCCACATAACAATGTTTTGCTCAATGACAGACTATATAACAGTGGTTCTCAAAACTGTAGTATGTATTTTTACCATCCTTTTTCTACATTTAGATACAAATACTTACCATTGAGTTACAAGTGTCTACAGTATCCAGGACAGTAACAAGCTGTACAGGTTTGTGGCCTAGGAGCAATAGGATATACCATCTAGTTTTGTGTAAGGAGTACGCCGATGTTCACACAACCACAGAACTGCCTAATGATGCATTTCTAGGAATGGATCCCCATTAACAGATACATGACTGTAGTATCATCCTATATGTATCTTCTTTTTTAACATTTTTGTGGTGAAATATAACACATAGAAAAAAGCAATGAGAAAGATTCAGCTTAATGAATCATTATAAAACAAACATCTATGTAACTGTCACCCTGGTTAAGAAATACATTAACCCTACCTAAGGAAGCCCAAATATATCAAGTACTCCCACAACCCCTCCAAGTTAACCACTATTCTGCCTGTGATGGACGTTGTTTTTCTTTATTTTTATATGATTGTGATGATAGGGCACTATCAAAATGACATTTTTTTCACTTTTTGTTGTAGGTATTATTTGTTTTCTCATTAATTTGTATTCTTCTAAGAGTTTAAGGCAATGTGAATTAATGCGAAAATCACCTTTATCTTTTTAAAACTTTATATATAAAGAATTAGCACGGTTTCTTTCACTGTATTGGCTCCCTGGATAATCCATTCAAGGAAGATTACTTAGTTCAACCTAATGAACCCAATGTCCTTCTTATACTGACGGAAACATTGGTGGCACACATTGAGACCATACTCCCAGATCGGACAGTGTTGGCAAGAGTTAAGAACCCTGGCAGAATTTTCTCAGGTGGCTCCAACACAGCTGCTGGTGACCCATCTTGCTTTCAAGAGGGCAATGAAGTAAAAGGAGCTCAGAAAGTCATCTTTAAAGTCATTTGTGAGAGAAGGAAGACAAAGGGAAAATAAGGGTAGCAAAGTTTAAGATGAGAGGAGTGAAAAAACTAGAATATGCCAGTAATACAATCCTAAGGACTTGATATAGATCACAAACTTAGCAGCTCTGTTATCTAGCCAAC